TTCGCGTGCTGTCGCGACACTCCCGAGGAGGCCGACAGATAACGCTTCCGCGGAGTGAACTAGTGAGGGTCAGTCAGGCGGCGATAACTTTTAATAAAACTAAATAAGAAATATAAAATAATACAAACGAATAAATAAAATAATAAAGTAATAAAAAATAAACATAATATAGAAATACAGAAATTAATAAATGCAACATAAAATACCAAATGAAATAAACGAATACATACAAATTAAAAATATTGGGATCGTTAGTATTATGAGCTTCTTTTGTTGTACCTGAAGAAAAGAAAAAGGAAAAAATAAGATAAAAATCTTGCCCTGCTCAGGGTCTTTTAGCTTTTATATATTTGACAAGAAAAATAAAATATGAAATAAGAAGTAAAAAATAAAAGAAATGAAAACAAAAATGAATAAATAAATAGGAGATAAAAACAAAAATAAAGAAAAACCAAAAAATAAGGTAGAAGAATAAAAGTGAAAATTTTATACAATTCTTGAGATCCCCAAAAACAAAAAATAAAAACAAAAATTAATATTGAGATCTCGTAAAATAGAAGAAAATATAAAAAATTGAAAAATGAAAAATAAATTGTATTACTTTAGTGTTGGAGATCCTAAGTGCTATGAAAATAAATAAAGAATAAAAAATAAAATAAAAAATATAAATTTAAGGTTTGGGATCTCCTGTAAAATTCCAGCTTATCTGAGTTTCCGTGCGAAGAAGGATTTCGCAGTAACCCGGTGTTTGTACTCCGCCAACCAATCATAAAACTCGATCAGAAAGCTTCGGACGCATGAAAATTTGTCGATAAACGTTTTCCATACTGGCGATTGGTCCAAAATATCCTGTTCTCCTATAATAAAAATACCTTCCCTAGCCCGCATTATTGCTACGGTGGTACGTTGCGGGTCGAGTACAAAATCCACGTTCCGGAACTTCTCTGCCGAGTGTACACGGGCAGTTACAATTATCGCAAAATCGCACTCCCCTCCTTGGTACCTATTAATGCTGAATACCTTCACTCCGGGTTGCCGTTGCTCGATATCCCGCACTGATGCATTGTAGTAGCATAGAATCACTACTTGAGCGTCGGGTTGTCGTTGTAAAATGAACTGATTCATCTGGACCGCCAGCTCGTTGTGCAGGTCATTGACCCAACTCTTTTCTTGAGTGAGTTGTTCTTTGCCCGTCGTGTGTAGGAACAGAAAAGGCACCTCGTGATTTGGGGCTGGTGAACCGAGTTCCGACCACATGGTCCTTCCCCAAGTCTCCTGTGCTGGGCGAAGTATACCATCATAAGAGGCCGCTGAAATAGCTTCCACCATCCGCGGATGGCTCCTAAAATTTTTTGTTAAAGTTATATGCTTGAGGGAAACATTTCTGGCCAGCTTATGCAGAGCTCCTTCGTGACCTAGGTATACTGTCCGTTGAGGGGTCGCTCCAACGTATGGCGGTGATTGCTTATAATCTCCGATAAAAAGCAACTTCTGAATGTTAGGCAAAAATGAAATAAGAACAAACAGAAACATTTCTGGTAAAAGTCCGGCTTTGTCCACTATAAGATGTAGCAGCTCGTCCGGGCTGAACTTGTTGTTCCATACTTCCAGCGCCGTTCGGACCATAGGGACCGTGCCACAAATGATACGCGGCTTGTGAATAGCTATCGCTTGCGCTAGCGCTTCATCCTCCTTGTATGCATTCCCGTCGTGAAGGATCCTTCGCGATATATACCTTTTGATGAATGGTGTATCCGCATCTGGAACCTCCGCTTTGAGATGTTTCTGCAGTATTTCCGACAACCTTGCCGTCTGCCATGCCTGCCGGGTTTGCTCCGATTCTGAGATAAGTTCGTTAGCTATAGACTGAAGAAAAATTAAATTCCCATTCTGTAACTTTACTTGATTGAAAACTTTCTCAGCTAGTTCTTGAACCGCCAGATTAGTCGGTGCTGTGGCAATGATCACTCCGTCTCATTTCCCTAAAAGTTGAATTACATAAAGAGAAAGTATGAAGGTCTTACCTGTCCCGGCTGGTGCTTGAGCAATCAAAACTTTTGATGTTAAGTCGTCAATATGCTGCAGGATCCGAGTCTGTTCCAACGTCATATTGAGCCTCTGACCGCTAATCTCCAACACCACTTCCTCCTCCAATAGTTTTCTGCCCGGTGCAGATAAATCTTCCACCTCCATTTCCATCTCTATCTGCGTTAAGCCCATAAGGCGATCCAGCATATCTTTGCGGTTAGCATTAGCGATATCCTGAATAGCATTAGATAATCTCTCCCCAGAAAAATCCTAAATGATACCCTCGTATCCCGTCTCGTTCATGTCCGGATATAACGTCAGGCCCGCGCATCATTGTTCCTCATTAGAGCAGGTACTTGTGAGAGAGCAACACGTACGTGGTCATCGTCCATGTAGCCGTGGAGCCAAATGTTGTCATCCTCGTCTACTTCCTTCGTGCGGATTGTCATCTTTACGCCGCTCCGGTACAGCCTCGCACTCGTGGACGGAGTCATCCTTCTAGCGCATGTGCGTTTCGCGTGCTGTCGCGACAGCATTTCTGCCATCTGCCTCTTTAAAAATGCGAAAGTAACTGGAAGTCTCAGATAAAACCAGCTACCGTTAAGAGAGGTTTCAATGATTGAGTTAGATTTTCTCACGAACTTTTTAAACTGTTTATTTGAGAATTTTGAAATTTTACTAAAATTTTGCTGCGTAAACAGATGAGTAACTATTTTTTGTCCCAATCCGAAAGCCATCTATACGTCCTACTCAATATATTTGAAAATAGCCGAGTTTTCTACATCGGTATTAGTACAGTGAAATTATAAAGTGGTGTATGTGCTGTCAGAAGGTTTTAAATTCCACCAACATGACTCCAGAAATTAAGGAAGACGCAGGGAAAGTTAAAACACTGCGGAAATGCTGTAAGAAACAGAAAAATTGCCTTTGGACTAACAAGTCTCTTAAAAACTCATTTAATAATTCAGTAAAAAAAATAAACTTCTTTGAAGCAATAATTACATCCCATCATTGCAGAAGCTGTAAAGCTGTACGTCTTTTAGCGGACAGTCACACCCTGCGCTGTGAAGTGAATCACACCTTCGAGGAAGTCCATACTCGGCTAGCGTATGGGTGTTCTGGCTATTTACCAAGGTACTAACGAGTCTGTCCCAAGAAACTATGTCGAAAATGAAGAAATGTTGATACAGTGGACAGTCTGTAAAACAGCTTGTTTTCGAAGGAATTCGATGAGCGCTAACAAGCACCAGCGTTGTTTCAAAACACTTTGCTGTACTTGAGTGTTGCTACTTCGAAAAATTGCTTTTAACACGGCATCCAACTGAGTGATCAACGCCTGCTGCTGGTACTAGTGCAGGATTAGGTTGAAACTTGTACTTATGACACTAAAATACCACTGAGGAGTGCGGTTGCAGTAGAGAAAAAAATAACTTTACCAGGCCTTCTACAAAAGTATCTTTTCAACTTAGTAAAGAGTATTTTTCTTATTATTCTTCGAACAACAAAAAAGTGTTGCAGATGGTGTTCTCGCAATTACATTCATCCTCACCTCTACTGCATTTAGTTTGACCAGTGAAGAGTTATCAATAGCTCTTGAGCGTGAGTACGTTTATCAGCAAAAAAGGACTTATTAATCATACCACTTGAGAAGCACTAGCGAAGTCACAAGTCGTCAGGTAATAGTGACGGCTTATGATTTCGTCCGAGACTTTTTCATTTTGCTTTCACAAATTTGAACTGGCCAGATCGTTATTCTTTTCCTCACATCCTAATCACCGCGCTAATCCCCTTTGACTTCAATTTAAGTTTTATCAATGAAAAATCTGCAACTTTTTTTCATAACCACTGTACAAATTTCATAAATTTTGCGATTTTGTTGCTAGAGATGAGCATTCCGCAGCACTTTTTCTCGCACGTTCTGATAAAAAAAAAGCGTTTTTCCATGTGCTATTACGGTATTTCAAAGAACGAAGAGTTATCTAACAGGTATACTTGAAAACAGTTTTTGCAATCTGCTTTGCAAATATAGCTTCTAAAACAGTTTAAACCAATAATATACGATGAAGAGTCAAATTGGTGTAAATAAATTTTAAGTCGGTAATAATGAAATCAATCCTTTGGCCAAGTTATAAAAGTTTGATGGCATGCAAACTAATACTGCTCGTCTTGAGCATCAGTTAGCCGACCAATATTCCTAGATATAAGGGCGCTCAACATGTCAGTAATACGATTCAATTAGCAGGCAAGGGAGAGGAGGGTCGAAATTATTGGATATGATCAGTAGACGAAATTAATTTTGCCTCGAAATCCTCCACCTACTATACCTGTTGAATTCTTTATTCCCAAATAGCAAC